GTCGGAATTTAGGAAACTTGCGGGAAAGGTTGGGAAATTACTTAAATAGTTAGAATTCGGTCTTTTAAGCCTTTATTGACTAGTTCTTACCTATTTTAACTAGTTTGCGATCGTTCGGCTTCGAATTAAGAGCTTGGGCTTGTTCTTGATATTGGGAGCACGCTTTGGAGCGAGGTGAGTCTCCTTTCTAACCTTGTAAGAGGGAATTGTCCCCATAGGGTAATAACTGAATAATTGTTGCTAAATGCGGGGGCTACGTACGTACTAGGTGACGAGAGTCCGTGCGTAGCTACTATGATATTTATTGTATGGGTAGTTTAGGACCCACATCATGCCTAATTTGGAAGTATCTCTTATTTAAATTGCCACTATGATTATTCATGATATGCTACAGACTTAAAGGAAATATGAAGTGAACATATGAACTTGTTAAACTTTGGTAAGAGCTTCCTGGTATGTGTATGAACCTTCGTGTGCATTCTTGATATTTATGGATCGGGTCGATCGCCTCGGTGAGAATAGATGCATCTATGGTTCGTGCCGTTCGACCCTCGGCAATGCACATTTTTTTAATTCTGTTGGAGCGGGCCGTCGACCTCGATGTGATTGCATATGATATGTATAGATATGCTGATACTTGAACATGACATGCCTACTTGCTTAGAAATTGAAAATGTAAAATGGAAACTGAAGTAAGGACAAGAATATGATTACTGCTCTTTGTTATAACTTGTTGAATATTGGTGACTTTCATGCTTAGAATAGCACAATTATATTATATTATCTTGACCCTAGTGAGTATCAAGTCGACCTCTCGTCTCTACTTCTTCGAGATTAGGCGGGATACTCACTGGGTACATATTGTTTATGTACTCATGCTACGCTTCTGTACTTAAATGTATAGGGTCTGAGGCAGGTGGATCCGGTTATTTCTCCGGTGCGCATTCGTGAGCAGACTTGGGACTTCTACGGTGAGCTGCTTTCCTTCCATGTCGATCCGCAGCCAAAGAAGTCTTTCTTTTGTATTGTTATATTCTGTCTATTCTGATCCAGACAGTAGGGTAGTGTGGTATTCTTTTGGGTTGTATATTCTACTAGTTGCCCGTAGCTTGTGACACCAGATTCTGGCACACACTTTGGTCTACTCGGATTGACACCAAATTTTACGGGCAAGTCTTAAACGACATTACGGACCTGTACCAAGCTTCGGGACAAAAAACCGAGCCCGATACTTAGGGAATCAATGATTACTTAGCTTCTTTAATTCCTTAAAGCTTCAATCAAACAATTTTAGATAAAAATTCATTACTCGGGCTAGGGACCTCGGAATTCGATTCCGGACATACGCCCAGGTCCAATATTTTCCCACGGACCCTCAGAAATTGCCAAATCACGAATCGGACCCGTTTTCCCAAAGTGTTGACCGAAGTCAAACTTGATCTTTTTAAGAAATCCTAAAGAAGCAAATGGGCATATTTTTTACTCAAAACCCTTCCAATCCCCGAACCAATCGCCCCCGCAAGTTGTAAATTAGTTAAAGCAAGTATGGGAGGCTTTATTTAGGGGTACGGGGTTCGAAAAGGCAAAACGACCGGTCGGGTCGTTACAATTATAATAATTGCATTGGTATGGAAACAATAAGTTCCAATTAAATTGTTATTTCATTATATAAACTGTGAAGAAGTTTAATCATACACATAAATACATAAGTATTAAAATTGAATTAAAATAATTAGACTAATTAAGCCGACGTCCAAATATTCTAACAGAATATGCATTTAGAAGGAATTCTTGCAAAATTTTCAAAAGGTTTAAATGTGTATTCAATAAATTTATCACCTAAGTGTACAAACTAATTAATGACTTTAAAATTAACGACTTAACTATTAGATGTATCGCATTGAATGTTGAAACTTGTCAGAATTGATATCATCTAGTTTTATGCCTACTTAGCTTATTGAAACGCATTCTAAGTAGACAAAATTATGATAGATATATAATTCACTATATTCATGAAATAACTTACATTTCAAAGTTTTTGGTCGGGTAATATTTAAACACTAATTTATCATCCCACTGCACATAATTATTTATTGGAAAAGGGTCCAAAATTGCCCCTCTACTATTTATTATTGGTTCTTGTGCCACCCGTTATACTTTTCGGCCATTCTCGTCCCTACCGTTAACAAAGTTTGCAAAATTACCCCTAACCCTAACGTCCCTCCATTGTGGCAGCTGACCCCATCAATTTTATCCATGTCAGCTGCCATGTCATCGACCCCACCAAATTAAAACCCTAACATAAACGACCCCCACCATCAATTGACAAACCCACCTTCTTCACATAAACCCCCCACCGTATCTCCTCCATTTTTTTTCATATTCTCATCCACAGCAAAACAATAAAGAACCACCCATAAAAATTTATGCAACATAAATAAAATTGAACATTAATGAATGTTAATTTTTTTCTCATATTCAAGCGAGAAATGAGATAGCAGAAAATTATAGTGGATATGGTATTGTTCACCGTTTGTTTCTAATTCTTCCAATATTTTTAGTGCTACAAAATTATACAATTTAAATGCTTCAATGTATCAAAATTTGCGGAAATTTGATTTGCGTTGGATTCAAATTCAGAGTTTATTTAAAAGCCTACAAGATCAAAGGATATTAACAGTGTTCTCGTCTATGGATTTGGGGATTTATGAAAAGGGTGGTCAAGTTTCTCTCATGTGGGTTGAAGATGAATGAGAATGAAAGATTTTGGTCTAACTGTGTTTACATTAGGCGGTGAAGGGCAGAATAGTGGTGGTGGTTATGGTGAAAAGGAAGCAGTGGTTTTTCCCCTTTTTTGAAGATTAAGGTAGTGCTAGAGGTGAGCCTAACTGTCTAAAATGATGGAGCCCTGAAAGTGAATAAAATGGTGGTTCATCATTTTAGGTGGTCAAAAGGAGATATGGGTGGTGAGGAGGCAATAGAGAAGAAGGTTGGAGTGACGGCAGATGGTGATGATGGGTGTTTGCCAACAAGATCTGACATGGCTGCATTGAGTAAGCTACGGTAGTAATACTTTGATGGCTTTTAATCTTATCGACAATTTTTGTCTGTGTGAGTTGATTTGAATTTCTTGTCGGAGAAGGGGGTTACTGTTTGAATGACGAAACAAGAAGAAGGAGAAAGGAGACGAAGTCAACTCGCCAGCACCGTGGAGGTTAGTTCTGCCCGCTGAAAATTTTCCGGCGAAATGCCATGGTTTTCGGCGATTTTGGTATGAGGTGAGGGAGAGAAGATGAGAGAAATGGTGGAGAGGTAAGGAGTGGGGTCGTTTATGTTAGGGTTTTAATTTGGTGGGGTCGATGACGTGGCAGCTGACATGGATAAAATTGATGGGGTCAGCTGCCACAGTGGGGGGACGTTAGGGTTAGGGGTAATTTTGTAAACTTTGTTAACGGTAGGGACGAGAATGGCCGAAAAGTATAACGGGTGGCATAAGTAACCAATAAACAATAGTAGAGGGACAATTTTGACCCTTTTCCCTTATTTATTTGATAAATATACATATAGAATATTAATACACGATTATGTACTGCACTGAATTTTTCATTGATAATAATTCTTGTCATTCTAATTCACTTATTTCTATGATAGTTTTCATTATGTCGAATTTGTCAAAGCTTGAATTTATGGCACTTGACATCTCTGGAAATAACTATTTGCCATGGGTACTTGATGCTGAAATTCACCTTGACGCTAAAGGTCTTGGTGACACTATTAAAGAAGGAAATGAAGCATCAAGTCAGCATAAAGCGAAAGCCATGATTTTCCTTCGCCATCATCTCGATGAAGGGTTAAAAAGTGAATATTTAACCTTGAAAGATTCATTTCAATTATGGACTAGTTTAAAGGAACGATATGACCACCTAAAGGCCACGGTATTGCCAAGAGCTCGTCGTGAGTGGATGCACTTAGGACTACAAGATTATAAGACCATAAGTGAATATAATTCTGCTGTATATAGAATAATTTCCCAACTAAAATTATGTGGGGAAACATGCTGGAAAAGACTCTTTCCACTTTTCATGCCTCAAATATGGTATTACAGCAGCAATACCGTGAAAAGGGCTTTAAGAAATATTCTGAGTTAATTTCATGCATTTTGGTGGCCGAACAACATGATGCCCTTTTAATGAAAAATCATGAAGCCCGCCCCACTGGATCAGCTCCATTTCTAGAAGCGAATCTGAGAATGATTGATCCAAAGTCTGAAAAAAAAAGACAAAATAATTATCGTGGCCGTATAAATATACGTGGGCGTGGCAAGGGGCGAAATAATAATCGCCATGGTGGTGGTCGTTATAAACAAGAGAACAATAAGGGTTCTCAGAGTAATCCTTCAAAAGGCAAAGGTAATGTTTGCCACCGATGTGGAATGAAAAATCATTGAGCACGAATTTATCGTACACCTGAATATTTTGTCAAACTTTATCAAGCATCTATAAAAGGAAAACAAAATAAAGTTGAGACTCACTTGACTTTTCAAAATGATGTTGAGGCAGGCCCTATGAATAATCATGATAAAGCTGAAGCAAACCTTGCCTATAAAGATGATATTTTTGAAGGTCTTGCAGATATTACTCATTTAGAAGCTGGAGACTTCTTTGAGTATCATAACTGAAGACTTATTATTGGGAAAAATTATAAGAATAAATGTATTTCTTTTTATGAAGTTCATATTTTGAATAAAACTTTTTATGTTGTTGGTATTTAATTTCATAAATGTAGTTTCTTTTGTTCTTAAAATTTTCAATATTACTTATGATGTATTTTTTTTTCTTCTTAAAGAATATGAAAACTTCCCAGACTTCAGTTGACCGTATGAATAATAAAGAAGAAATATGTCTTCTGGCTAGTGCTACGACGCACACCATATTAAAAGATAAGAGATATTTCTCTTATTTAATTATGAAAGAAGCCAATATAGTTACAATATCTGGTAGTACAAAATTAATTGAGGGCTCTGGAAGAGCTACTATATTACTACCAGGAGGAACTATATTGGCTGTTAATGATGCATTATATCGTAGTAGGTCTCAAAGAAACTTGTTGAGTTTCAAAGATATTCGCCAAAATGGCTATCATATTGAGACTACCAATGAAGGAAAGGTTGAATACCTTTATATTACTACAATAAAAGCGGAAAAGAAGTATGTGCTTGAAAAGCTTCCTGCATTTTCCTCCGGATTATACTACACTAATATTAGTGTAGTTGAATCACATGCCATAGTAAACAAGAAGTTTACTAATGATTTTATTATTTGGCATGACCGACCATCCCGGTTATAATATGATGCGCAAAATAATTGAGAATTCACATGGTCATTCATTGAAGAACCAGAAGATTCTTCAAACTAAAGAATTCTCTTGCGCTGCATGTTCTCAAGAAAAACTGATTATTAGACCATCAGTAATTAAAGTTGGAGTTGAATCTCCTGCATTTTTGGAACCTATACAGGGTGATATATGTGAGCCCATACACCCTCCATGTGGACCATTCAGATATTATATGGTTTTAATAGATGCATCTACAAGATGGTCACATGTGTGCTTGTTATCAACCCGCAATTTGGCCTTTGCGAGGTTACTAGCTCAATTAATCAGATTAAGAGCATAATTTCTAGATTATGCAATTAAGACACTTCGTCTTGATAACGCTGGTGAATTTACGTCCCAGGGATTTAATGATTATTGCATATCAACTGGGATAACAATTGAGCATCCAGTTGCTCATGTTCATACTCAAAATGGTCTAGCAGAATCATTGATCAAACGCCTCCGATTAATTGCTAGACCAATGCTTATGAGAACAAAACTTCCTATTTCAGCATGGGGCCATGCTATTTTGCATGTAGCAGCTCTTGTGCGGATCAGACCTACAAGTTATCATAAAGTCTCTCCAATATAATTGGCTTTTGGTCAGGAGCCAAATATTTTCCAT